TCATCATCATCATCATCATCATCATCATCATCATCATCATCATCATCATCATCATCATCATCATCATCATCATCATCATCATCATCATCATCATCTTCTTCTTCATCTACAACCACGATTCCTGGTACAGCTTGCTCCTACTCGTGGCCATTTGAGCCACCGAGGTCAACGTCGCCCCGCCCAAGATGTCGAATACCGCCATCTCCGCTTGCAACTCCTTCGCAAACCAGCTCCGCAGCTCGACCGCCACCAGCGAGTCCACCCCATACTGATGTAACGGCTTGCTCGCATCCATGTCCGTCGCCGCAATCGACAGCGCTTTTGACAGCTTCTCCGCGATAGCTGCCATGGCCACCGCATGAGCGCTGGCCAGCGACTCCGCCCGTTGCAACGCACCTGCGATCGAGTCGCTCGCGCCCGCACTGCCCCCCGCTCGTTCGTGGCCCGTGAGATGCCTAAACATGGGCTTCTTCAGCCACGTCGCCTGCGTCGCATTTGGAGACAGTCCCACGGTGACTTGGCAGTCGGAGGCCTTGTCGAGACGGACCTGAGGATCACAGTAATAATCCAACAGCGCATGAAGTTGAGGTTCAGTCACCGGTTCCAGCCCCATACTTGCGATCAACATATCCCGCAGCTGCGCATCCTCAGCCACTGCACCGGCAAAGTCGAACACTCCCAGATCCAGCGCAGTCGCTTTCTCCCCAAGCGCCACACGATGCCGGGCCAGCGCATCCTGGAAGGCGTTGCCCGCCGCGTAGTTGGCTTGCCCCGTGGTTCCAACAATCCCTGAAATGGAGGATAACATGATGAAGAAGTCCAGGCCCCGCGGAAGGTGACAGTGGAGGTTCCATGACCCTTGCACTTTGGGTGCAAGGGACTCGTGCCACGCTTGATGAGAAATGTTCTCGAACAACGCGTCCTATCATGGTCAGCGCCAGAACGTGCATCGGGAAATACTATATGATAGGAAAGGCTTACTCGCAACACCATGGCCGCGTTGAGACATCCTCGGATTGGAGGCATCTGAGACTTGCACAGCTGGAGGGTGTTCTGCAGCGGCACTTCATTTGAAACATCACAAGCTGGGGCTAGGACCTGTACGCCTCGCCTTTGCAGTTGCTCTACGAGCACACGGCCTCTCTCATTCTGTCCTCCAGAGCGTGACAGCAACAGAAGGTGGCGAGCCCCTCGATCCGCGAACCAATGGGCAATGTTGCTTCCCAGCCCTCCCAAGCCCCCGCAGATAACAAACGTAGAGTCGGAATTCAAAGCGTACGTTGGCTTTGTTTCCAAAACTGTCTAGCCCAGTGTTAGTGTCGCAGCCAACGACAGTGGACGCCGGGAAGAAACTCACCAGCACTTTGTCCTCGGAGCGCATGTCCAACACCATTTTACCGACATGCTGTCCGCCCTGCATGATCCGGAAGGCTTTCTCGATCTCTCCCACCCCGTGTTGATGGATGGGCTGCGATGGGTGTAGCGATCCTTGCTGCACGGACGCGAAGATCTTGCCAAGAGCAGCGGCACATACTTCGGGTCTCTCCACCGACATGGCGGCGAGGTCCACGCCGCTGTAGGTCACATTACGAAGAAATTGAGACATAGGCAGTCTCTGGTTAGACAGTATGTCCCGCTTGCCGATCTCCAGAAACCTGCCATACGGCGCCATGCATTCCCATGAGGCCAGTAGACTCTCCCCGGCCAGCGAGTTTAGAATGATATCCACACCTTTGCCGCCCGTGCGGTGCTTGATTGCTTGCGCGAACATAGTGGTGCGGCTGGAGAAGATGTGTGTCTCTGGGATTTGATAATTGTCGATGAGAAATTGCTTCTTGCTCTGAGAGCCGACCGTCGCAAAGATTATAGCCCCCGCATTCTTCGCGATCTGAATCGCCGCTTGCCCCGTGCCGCCAGTGCCCGAGTGGATCAAGACAGATTCGCCGACTTGGATGCGCGCAACATTGTGCAAAGCTACGTATGCGGTGGCGTAGTTTACTGGAACCGCCGCAGCCTCTTGGAAAGAGATACCCCGGGGAATGTGCACCACGGGCCCATCCTCGTGAACGCGGATTGAGGTCGCAAAACATCCGTCGCCCAGGGCAGCAACTGCATCTCCGACCCGGAACTTGGAGACAGCTTCGCCCACACGACTGACAATCCCTGAGCATTCGGAGCCAGTGTGTGTGGCCTTCAACTGGCCTACAGCAATTAGCACGTCGCGGAAGTTCACACCTGCGCACTTGACCTGTATCTCAATCTCATCGGACTTGAGCGGTCGGTATGCTGTGGTATCTTCCAGGAACTGGAAGCCACTGATTAGCCCAGGGGAAGTAGCGTCTAGCTGCAAGGGAACCTGGCAGCCAAACTTCTGCATTCCGCGCTGCTGAGAGCTGGCTTTGCGTGATACCGTTTCGTTGAGTTGCGCGGGCGTCACTATACGAGGAATGTGCAGCATATCGCTTTGTTCAACATACTCTGTATCCGCACCCTTTGCAGCTGGCGAAGCCAAAAAGCGAGCTAGTTTCGCAACATGCTGCGCCACTTGGCTCAATGGTTTTTCGGGCTCCAAGCAAAGAAGGTGCAGATTGCGTCGGCCATCCTCTTCCATCAAGACGCGGAACAATCCTTCAACTAGACGGAAATGCGGCTTGGCTGGCAAGACACCCCCTCCTTGGTTGACCCACAGCACCTGAGATGTCGATGAAAGATAACTCTGAAGCTTTTCATACAGCTCAGGTTGGATGTCTGTCCACACCGGACACTGAAGCTCGATGACGAAAACTTGAAGCGATTCGGTGTCGCTTTGATGGCCTATGGTTTCCTCAAGCGAGACGCTTCGAACGTGCGTGCATCCAATATTCTCGCATTGTTTGGTAATGGCATGTGCCAGGTGTTCCTGGTCAGGTTTTGTAGAATCGTACACGACTTCGATCTCTGCCACAGCGCGCATTTCGTGCTTGTTTTCGACAGCTGTCGAAATCATCAAGCTGCATTCATGCGAAAGCTCGCTTTCGAAGTCGGGTAACGAGACATCCACCCCAGAATATCCAGTTCGTCGGAGGATTTCATCCCACTGACCTTCGTCAACGTACCGGGATGTGTTGCAATGGGGCTCTGAATCTGTATCCACTTAGTATTACGACCCTTTGGTCAGTGCGAAGAGCTTACCTTGCCACCATTGCTCAAATAGACCGGACACAAATGTCGACCGGCACTCAGGAACGACTCCTTCGTACACAACTAGCTTGCCATCTCTACCTGCCGTGTGAGAAGATGTAACATAGTAGGGATAGAATTGGACTCACGGTTTTAGCAGCCTCCGCGCATTCTGCAACGCCTTTCTGAAACATGCTGTTTTATGAAAGACCTGCGTGACTGTCAGTTTCGGGATCGAAACAATACGGGGGGAGACATACCATTGAGGCCACGACCACATCATACGTGCCACACTCAATACCTTGCATGGCTGGGTCTTGCTCAATGTCGAGCACGTTGAATCCCATATGCTCTGCTTCCGAGGCGAACCTCTCTTTGGCCGTAGATATGCTTTCAGGCGACACATCAGTGAAGTCCAAGTGTGCGTATCGCCTATCACTTGCGCCCCCTCCCAATGTAGCCAGAATAATTTCCGTTACAAATCCAGCATCTCCCCCTAACTCCAGAATCTTCATCTTGGGAAAGCGATGAGCCAGAAGATCAAGATATTTACCCAGGCCCCGAATGCCGTGCGATTCAGCGACCTGACTTGTTAGTTGGAGGCACGGTCCGTGATGTGAGCGGGTAGCCACTTACGTGTTCTTGATATGCTGCCTTCAGCATATCTTTTTCAAGCAGACTGGACGGATCCAGCTCCCCAGTCAGAAGATTTGTTAGATTGCGAGCAACTATGGCGTACAAATAACCCTGTTTGCTGCCTAGGATTCGATTCTCAGCCTCCTCAAGATACGATGGATCGGTCAATTGGCTCGCAACATCATCAGAGACCGTTTGCTGGTGATGGATTAGCCAGGTGTGGTATTTCTTGATCTTCGGATCTGTTGACTGGAACCCTGTCTTTACCAAGGCAGAGAGCGTTTCTTTCCCTCGTGCTGCGAGCAGGACATCCAGGTCTTTATAGAACCTTTCGTGGTCGATCGCACCAGCAGATACAGTACTGCATAAATTGGTAATCTCCGCATTGCTTAGCAATTCCAAGTCTGGCTTCCACTCGATTTGATGGCAGAGGCTGTCTGCAGACTCATCGACCCTGTCATTGAGACCTGATGTGTCAACGATGTTCATCCGCAACCCAGTAACGGACACTAAGGTCTTTTGCAAGTTGTCGTCAAGCACAACGATGTTTGATGATGGGCCAATGAATTGCGACACATCGGAGCATGTGCCATGAACCTTGAGCATCGTGGATGACAGCGCATGGCTATTGACCCATAACGTCTCAACGTAGGTCGGCACCGCAGTCGGGATCCTGTCCGTTTCCGAGGGCACTGCTGCCCAGATGGCCGTTTGAAGGATGGCGTCCAATGTTGTGGGGTGGATCGTCTCTCCCAAGGACGTCGAGAAGTTCTGGACCAGAGCAGTTACCTCTGCCTCCGCTTTGCCCTGGCAGAGCTCTTTGACCAGTTGGAAAGCTGGACCGTAGCCATAGCCTGATTCCTCCAATGTATGATACAGCTTCTCGCCCCCCATCGTCAGTCTAGATGTTTGTGCTGCCGCCGAGTAAGCGTCCCGCCGAGCGGCCTGCAGTTCGACTGCGAGTGCTTTCTCCATCTCCTCTTCCTTATCGCCATAAACAACCTGGATAGAGCCCGTGCAGTTATCTGTCCAGACCTCGTTCTCGAACGTGCAGACATTGAAGTCAAACCAGCCAGACCGTTTCGACTCCATATTCTTGGCAGGCCGGAGATGAAAATTGGTCTCAATGCCGTGAGCCCCCTCCGGCACCCGAATGGCCGCGCGGAAGGCGACATCTCGGACATTGAAGCCGGAGATCGGCCTGCTTGGATCCGCCAGCTGCTTGGCTGCCTCGATGGCCATGACCACCATTCCAGCTCCAGGGTAGAGAATCGTTCCGTTAATCTGAGCAGATATTAGCAGTAACCCAAGGCAAAGCCATTGATGGGAGCCGTACCTTGTGGTCCTGGACCCAGGGCATCTCGGACACTCGGATGATGTTCCTCCATCGCGCTTGCAGCGGGTTCTGGTTCTGATCCGCCAACCCTAAGAGGTCGTTCCGGGCGAACTGTCGCAGACGGTGACCCTTGCTTATCCTGCTCTCGTACCAGTAGACCTTATCGTGGTTGAAGGGGTATTCAGGCAGATCTGGCAGAGTTCGACATGTGGAATCATCCTGGTTGACCAGGGCCAAGTCGATGGGATATCCTGCGGTATACAGATCACCAAAAACCGAAAAAGCGGTATCCTCAGCGGACATGTTACGCACCAGCAAGGATAGGTATTTGATGGATGAGCTCTTGCCGATGTCTCTCAGGATATCCTTGCAGGCACCTTGCAGGACTGAATGAGGCCCGATCTCCAGGAGGTGATCGACCTTGCATTTGCGTCGGTGACTGCCGTCTAGCGCATTCGTGGGGTTGGACGAGGCGGAGCAGAGCGTGGCGAGTCCATCAGAGAAGCGCACCGGCGATATCATATTCCTGACCCAGTGAGAAGCCTGACGCGGCTCGTCGGGGTCGATCCACTCGCCGGTGATGGATGAGATCATCTGAGGCCGGGTGTGCGGCTCTGAAGGGTCACCTTCCAGCTCGCCCAGAGCTTCGAGATACTGGGCCGCGATTTCCTTCATCTGGGCAGAGTGGTAGGCCAAATTGACCTTGAGCCTGCGGCAGAAGATCTTGTCCAGGTCTAGTCGAGCCTTGAGTGCGTCAAGTTGAACCCCTTCACCAGAGACGGTCACGCTCTTGGAACTGTTTATGCAGCCAACGGTCAGTCGTGTAACCTCAAACTCGGCGCTGACTTCTTCGATGTACGGCAACACCTCCTTCTCGGAGAGGGCGACAGCCAACATGGAACCTTTCATCTGTGCGTTTTTCTCCAACCAACTGCTCATGTTGCCTCGGAAGTACGAGACCTTCCAGGCTGAGCGGCGGGAGATCGCGCGGGAACAGTACCTGGTCCATAATCAGCAGAATACTTGCATGTTAATAGAATGGATACTCACGCCGCAGCAACCTCACCAGAAGAGTGCCCGAGTACGGCTTTGGGAACAATATTGAATGAACGCAGCAGGTCGACCAGAGCTACCTGGAGAATCGTGCACAAAATCTGACTGTACTCAGTACGGTTGACGTTCGACTCGCTCTCACTTCGTCGCAGCTCATCTGGAACAAATTAGTAACAGCTAGCATTGGTGTCGAAACTTGGAACTCAGCATACCAACGGGATTCCATTCACATCCCAGACTTCGGAGATATATCCCGGCTTCTTCGATGCTTTGACGGAATGCAGGAAAGGTACGGAGTAGCTCGCGTCCCATCCCATGCCACTGCGCTCCTTGCTACGAGACTGTCAGCGACCATGGCGGTGTAAGCAACAGCCCGGAATCAGATTGACTCACCCCTGAGAAGATCATGGCAAGGTTTGGCGATGCCCGCGATTGAACGGCCCCGGAGAAGCGCTCAACGACTGCTTTGAGGTCATCCGACGGCCATGCCACGGCAAAGGTTCGCCACGGTAGGTGAGTTCGTCGTGAGGCCAGGGTATGTGCTAGGCTTTTGAGGAAGGAAGGCTTATACTCGGCTGATTTGGAGAAGAATGAACCCCAAACTTCTTGAAGGCGCGGGATACCCGCTTCATCACCCGCAGACCAGACGAGGAGCTTTGGCGCATCAGTCACAGACTTCGCAACTCCATTGGTGCCGTTTGATACTTGGTGGTGGACCTCGCTCTGAGTCGTGCCCTTGCTGCGCGCTGAGGCCGGCGGTGGCATAGTGCTATGGTTCCCTTCCAGTTGGTTGAGTTGAAGGAAGTGATAGGCGTCATCTAGGACGATGTGTGTATTTGAGCCTCCATAGCCAAAGGAGCTGATGGAAGCACGTCGCACTTCGCCCGTTGGCCACGGTAGGGCTTCTTGAGGAAACTTTGACAGTGAGATCAATGTTTCACCGTCATTCAATGGTGCGATGAGATGGGGCCTTACCTTGACATTCCAGAATTCGTCATCTATTCGCGGGTTCAGGGTCTGTAGATTCTTACTGTTCGGCGGAATGATACCCTTTTCCAGCGCCAGGATGACTTTGATCATTCCGGCGATACCACTTGCTCCCTCGAGATGGCCGATATTCGACTTCACGGATCCTCTGCGGCTCACATCAGTCGGAATGGACGGACGACCAAGAGGTAGCGAACTCACATGTACAACGGCTCGTCCAGCGAGCGATGCAGTCGGAAGACGGAGCCAATAGCCCTGGTCTCGATGGGATCGCCCACGGCGGTGCCTACACTTCATCAACTTGGCTCATACCGGGATTCTAGGCGCAGTGCATGCTGACCAGTCCCATGCGCTTCAAAATACCGCGTCTGCCCAATATCCAGTCCTGCATTGACGTAGGTCTCGCGAATCAACGCTGCCTGCATCTCCGCGCTGGGCTGGGTGATGCCCGGTGTCTTACCATCCTGGTTCGAAGCTGAGGATCGGATCACTGCTCGAATGACGTCTCCGTCGCGCACGGCGTCCTCCACGGTCTTGATGATCAGCACCCCCACACCTTCGCCGCGCGAGTACCCATTAGCACGATCGTCAAAACTGAAGCACCGACTGTCCTTCGACAGCAAACCCAGATTATCCATCATCTGCGTTACCTCGGCTGCCAGAAGGAGGTTGCTTCCAATCGCCATGCCCTGGTCGCATTAGCACATAGTCTTGCGTAAATTCGAGATATTCAGACACACCATCGTTGCCTGGCCACTCCAGATCGACTGACACGTCATATCGATGGCCATCAAACTACTCGAACAGGCCGTGTCGACGGTCGCACTCGGTCCGGTCAGGTCAAAGAACCAACTAACGCGGTTGGCGAGCATATTGCCTGTCGTCCCCGTGATATCGTATTTATGCTGGTGCAGGGGATCCTTCGCCCGCAACATTAACCAGTCATGGCCGGACGAGCCCGCAAACACCGCAGTCCGGGACTTCGCGATGCGCTGCAACGGAATCCCCGCGTTCTCTAGCGCCCGGAACGCGGCCTCGAGGATCAACCGCTGCGGCGGCTCCATCGCCTCCGCCTCAGCGGCAGTGATGGAGAAGAACGGCGCATCGAAGCGGCTGAGATCCTCCGCCAGGAAATGCGCTCCGCGCATGGACAGCGCATCGAGGTGATCAGTGTCTGCGCGGTGGTGCGTGTCGATGTTCAGTCGATCTGGTGGAAACTCTGCAGTGGCGCATCGTCTCTCCACGAGCATCTGCCAGAAGGACTCCGGGGTGACGGCATCTTGGGGCAATTTGAAGGACAGTCCAACAATCGCTAGCGGTGTCAGAGGCTCTATTTCTACTGTTTGCGCCATGGGTGGAGGAGGATGTAGATGTGAGTTGGATGCCCGTGGGAGGCAAAAGCAAGAAGTCTATTCTAGGGAGGAGGGATGGTCTTCGAACCCACATGACAGGCCAACTGCCTTTATTACTTCTGACCAATATCATTTTGGGATTTCGTCGTCAGGTCTCCATTCTGAATTCTGCTTAGGAGGAGCTAGCGAAAGAATGAGACCGCCACCTGCATGATGGGGGTTGGGGTTTGCGGGTCTGGGGCCTTGGACTGGGCACTGAGGCGCAAGTTGCAAGACGTAGTCGAAAGTCACCCGTAATTTACTGGGTGCAAAATTTCAGAAATTCAACGAGACCGGTCAGGTCATCCGCAAGCGATTCACAGGAGCGATTCAGCCCCGAATGCGAATTGTGGGTCTTTTCTGCAGGAAGTTGCTCGGCGTGCAGCAAGGTCAAGGCTGCCGAGCGCAACGCCACTTTCAGGCCACACGCAAGTACCGTACCGGTACAATGGATCAGACTGCAGTAAGGTATATGTAATCTGACAGATAACTTGACTTGACTTGAGTCGAGCATTCGATCGTCCTCAGCTGAGCCCGGTTTCTTTGCGGATCGTCGGCTATGCCGAGGAGTTGATTTTCAGCCTCGAGCATAGACTCATTGCAGGGGCTCTTCCCTTGTCTTCTTCTTCTTGGCTTTGTTCATCATTACCTGGTACGGAGTAGAGTGCAGGCTTTTTGAATTTGCGGGATGCTGCTACTGCACAAGTTATAAGTTGATTATCTAGGGCTAGACTGTACTTGGAGGGTTTCTTTGCGGGACGCATTTCGAGGGACTGACCTGTTTTTCTTCTAACCCGTCCTCCGGGACCTTTAACAACAGCAATCCCCAAAATGCGCTTCTTGTGGTAGGAATAACGAGGCCCATGGTCCTGCCTTGAGGTTAATCTAAGTTCTTTGCCAGTTTACACGGACAAGGCAGCAATGCCCGAGTGAGTGACCCGACCCGTCGCGGACGTCCTTACCTGACTCTTCGACGCAGATCTTTCAACAGCAGACTGGTAGGGATCCAGCAGCCTGCAAGTCAATTCAATGGTACTGACAATCGCAACAAGCCGCCCTGCGGTATGAACTTGGAGACGATCACAGCTACGACTTCGTCAACGGTGCAGTCCCATGGAAAACCGATCGAGGTGTGCGCTTGCCATCCTGCCCTAACTAATCCACCCACCCGCTTGTCCTAACCATTCAGCAGATCTCGATCAATTGGCAATGGGTGAAGAGCAAACCTTCGCGCACTGTGATCCCGAGGAGCCCGAGTCATGCCTTCAAGCCCTGGAGAACCTCGAACAGTACATCGCCGCAGAAGGACCCTACGACGGCATCATGGGATTCAGCCAAGGGACTAACGTTGCCCTGAGCTGGCTGCTTAAGCTACAACAGGAGGCACGTACACTGCCCTTTAAATTCGGGGTCTTCTTCTCCAACCCCTGGGCTCTGTACGATTACCAGGAATTGTTGGGCGGTCGCATTGTGCCCTTGCGTCATGACGCATACGTGGGGTTGCTGGATCTGCCGACGACACATATCTGGGGGTCAGCGGACAAGGACGCAAAGGCGTCGGAGGCGATCACGGCGGCCTGTGTGGAAGCAAAGCGATCAGTCTGGATCCATGACAAGGGCCATGAGATTCCCGTCAATACTGACACTGTGATCGCGATGGCGAAGATGATCAATCGAGCGTTGGTCCGAGCTTCGACGGCGGAAGGAGCATAGAGATTCCCTCGTTCATAGTGAAATTACAAAATGTACCGGTTATCAGCGCTAGTTGACCCTGATCTATGATTACTGGTAAGAGGGTCTGTCTCCCTTGGTCTCCGTCCGCCTGAGCAAACGGCGATAGGTGATGAGATGCGTATAGGCGCGTAAAACGAACTACCAAGACGGGAGAGAAAGAGGAGAAGGCCCAGACAGGGCCAGAAAGGGTATCCTAGCCGTGTTTCGTGCAACTCCTAGCATTATCCTAACTGGTGGACGATGGTCAAGAGCTCCTAGGTCGCAGGCTCCTGCAGCGTGTGCGCTGGCATAAGCCGGGATTCCCGGTGTCAGTGCAGATGAGCCCAACCAATCAGTCTGTCCCAGCCTCTCTGCGAGGGTGAGTGACTGCAGTCATCCATGATCACTGCATGGATCAATTGCACCTGGAAAGCCCCAACAGGGTATGGACTGGTAAGACCAAGAGGGGTTTCGATCCGTTCGTATTTCCGCCGTTTCTATTGCCCGGGAGGAAAGCATTCCGGTTGGCACGACAGCTTACTGGTCATCTTGTTCTAGAACCGAATAGCCTGAAGTTTGGCTTGCATTATTTAGTGGAGACACTTATCCCCTAACCCCACCCCCACCCTACCCTCTGGGCCTGCTGGACTCGTAACGGACGCATACATCTTGCAGACCTAAGACGCCCGTCTTGTATCGTCATGTTTCCGTTACGGACATGCAAATTTGCAATCTGGGTTATACTCCGTTTGACGCGATGGGCTGGAAAGGATTCTTGGGACATGTAGACGGACCAAAGGACTCACATCAGTTTAAAAGAGCACTGGGGTGAGGAAGAGTATTTCACGGTGAACCTAGGCCCTTCTTTGAATCCCCATCTCTCGATCATGCCGTCCAGATCGACCGTTTCGGTGGCACAGTACCTGTTTGCCCGCATCAAGGAAGTTGGCATCCGGTCCGTCCATGGCGTGCCGGGCGACTACAACCTGGTTGCACTCGACGACGTGCTGAAGGCGGGTCTCCGGTGGATTGGGAATTGCAATGAGCTTAATGCTGGTGAGACATAAACTACACCCCTTTGGTGCTCCAAACAGAACAGGCGCCTCGACTGACAGAGTCCCAAAGGGTACGCAGCCGATGGCTACGCCCGGGTCCATGGGATTTCAGCGCTGATGACTGTCGCCGGGGTGGGGGAGCTGTCGGTCTCCAATGCCATCGCCGGCGCGTACGCCGAGTTCGTCCCGATCGTGCACATCGTAGGACAGCCGAGTTTGGCCCTGCAGAAGCAGAAGAAGCTGTTGCATCACTCGCTAGGCGACGGGGACTTCGAGAGCATAGCCCACATATCGCAACAGACAGCCTCAAAGAGCGTAAAGCTCCAATGCGTCAACCAGGCGCCAGGGCTCATCGACGCTGCGATCACCCACTGCTGGAAGTCCAGTCGACCCGTCTCTATCGTCTTACCCACGGATATGGTGCATGCGCCCGTCATGGCAGAGAAGCTCTCCCGGCCGCTGGACATGCTGGCCACGCCCAACGATTTCGCCACGGAGCGGCGGACCGCCGATGCCATTCTGAGCGCACTTCGGACCGCCCGCCGGCCCATCCTGTTAGTTGGAGGATATAATATCCGGTTCACGAAGAAGCGGGAGGTGCAGGAGCTTGCGGAAGCTTTCGGGCTGCCAGTCTTTCTATCGGCGTCTGGGAGAGGCATCATTGACGAAGAGCACCCCTGCTTCCACGGATTGTATCTAGGGGACTGTTCCGATCCATACACAACCCAAACGGTCCGGTCGTCGGATCTCATCATCTCCGTCGGTAATATCCATTCGGATTTGAACCTCGCCTCCGTATCGTGGGAGTTTGATCCCATGAAGATGGTTGAGATCCGCGACGGACTTGTGCAAGTCCAGAGCAAGGCCTACTACGGGCTAAATAGCCCGGGCCTTCTGCAGACTCTCATCAACCACACAAGAGAGTCGACCCAGCCTAAAGGACGCAGCACTCCGGTTACTGTGCAGTCTAGCGATACTGCACGCACAAATCAGTTCCACGCACCTCCCAAGATCACTGCCGCAATCGTAGACCGCGAGCCAGCCTACGGCGGTGGGGTGGTGATGCATGGGATGCCGACACGCAAGTCCCATACGCTGAGCTACCGAGAGAAGACCGGAGTGCTGAATCACGACTGGCTCTGGCCAACGCTAAGTGACTGGTTGCAGCCCGGGGATACGGTCATTGCCGAGACCGGCACCGCCAACTTTGGTATCTGGTCGACCCGGTTCCCTCGCGACGTCACATATATCAGTCAGTATGTCTGGGCGAGTGTGGGCTATTCCCTGGGCGCCTGCCAGGGGGTTGCAGCGGCCATTGAGGACTCAGCCCGCCCCGGTCGCCGCACTGTCCTGTTCATCGGCGATGGAAGTTTCCAATTTACGTGCCAGGAGTTGAGCACGATCGTCAAACACAATCTGACCCCGATCATGTAAGTCGATCGGTCATCCGGTGAAACCTTTTCCGGAGGCTGCAGTGGGATTAACCCAACCGTTCTTCTTCAGCTTTGTGATCTGTAACAACGGATACACCGTGGAGCGACTGATCCACGGATGGCATGAGTCGTACAATGACGTCCAGGATTGGAAATATCTAAAGCTTCTGGAGGTGTTTGGGGCGGAGCGTGGTTCCTATCAGACATATCAGATCCGCACCAAGGAGGAGCTGGCAGCGCTTCTGCAGAATCCCGCGTTCAACAATGGGCGAATGCTTCGGGTGAGTTTTTTCCAGAGCACGGCTCTAGTAGCACGCAGATGACTGATCCCATTGGTCATTGGCCATCGACCATCATAGTTCGTCGAATTGCATATGGATCAGAATGATGCACCGTCGGAGCTGAAAACTCTCACCCGGCAAATAGTGACCCGGGCAAGGCATCCGCCAGACTCCAGGCAAGGGGAACGAGTGGGATCAGATTAGCGGAGGACTCTTCCTGCAGAGGAATAATGTATACTCCATAGACTTGGCCTTTTCCCTGTGCCTGTGAATGGTATGTCTGTGGCCAAAGGGAATAGGTATACTCCATGAAGAGGCTGCATGCAGACCGCCAAAGGCGGTCACTGAGTGTCATTGTCATTCGAGGCCAAATACAACAACACGCGGGGTGGGAATGCAAAAATACCACCTGTATCACCGGCCCTAATTGCCCATTCTCTTTTCTCATCAACAAAAGTAACTCCGCCACCAAGGCTCTCACAGCTGCATACCAGGCCCATGCACGATGTGTGGAAATCCCTGCCGACCCCAGAGCACAGGCATCCCCGTTCTGGGGAGTAAGCCAGCCTGATCCGTCACACCAACCGAGCAAGCTTCTTTTCCTCTACCTCCCCCCCTGCTGAGAGCACCGAAACAATTCCTCCAGCTTCGCCAGCTTCTCCCAAGACCAATCCCCTCCTCCAGATTCGCCTGCTTTCTTCATGGAGGAGTCATCGATTGTTCACGGACCAGAGGAGCCCGCCCTCTGGTCCAAAACCTTGGGTCAACTGATCGAGGAGCAGGCCACCCAGTACGGCGACCGCACGGCGCTGGTCACCCCATGGCAAGACAAGCGGTTGTCCTTCCGCGAGCTGGCGGAGAGTAGCAAGGTGCTGGCTCACGCGATGGTGCGCGCTGGTCTGCGTCTGGGTGACTGCATTGCTGTTCTGGCAGGCAATCGCTACGAATACATCCAGGTGTTTCTGGCCGGGGCGCGGATCGGATGTCCTGTGCTACCCTTGAACAACGCGTACACTCCGGCGGAGGTGCTGCGCGCGTTGCAGAGAAGTGGTGAGTGCATTTGCTTTAGACAGGTTACGCCTGAGTTCCAGCCGCGTGCTCATGGACCTCCATTCCAGCAACCAGATTCCTCTTCATCGCCTCGCAGATCGGCCCCCGCAGCCTGGCCCCGCATCTCAAGAACTTGCTCTCGGTCGCGTCACAGGCCACCTTGCCTGAGCTGAGTGGAATCATATGCTTTGATAGTGACGAGCCTTACACACAATCGCAGATTCAGGCCTACGCGTCCTTCCTGGCCTCGGGCCAGAGTGAAGCACACGATGCGGGTGGCCTCCTGCGAGCCGCGGAACGGATCGTGCGGCTGTCGGACAATCTCAGCTATCAATTCACCTCAGGAACCAGCGGCGAGCCGAAGTTGTCCATGCTCACGCACCGGTAGGTTATTCAAATTCCCTGGGATTGCGTAGGGGTGGAAATTCTCTGATACTTGATCCTTGTGTCAGCGGCCTGATCAACAACGCCCGCCTTGTCGGCGACGGCATGCGCCTGACTCCTGCCGACGTGGTGTGCTGCCCCCCACCTCTCTTCCACACCTTCGGTCTGGTCCTCGGCTTCCTCAACGCCTTCACGCACGGTAGCGCCATCGTCTTCCCATCCGACCATTTTCACGCCGATAGCGTCATCGACGCCGTCATCCACGAGAAGGCCACCGCCCTGCTAGGGGTGCCCACCATGTTCGTCGCCGAACTAGAAGCCTGCGCGGCCCGGAAGGTCGACAACATCACGACGGTACGCACAGGGCTGGCAGCGGGGTCGCCGGTCTCGGAGACGCTGCTCAGTCGGCTCGAAGTGAGATTCGGCGTCAAGGGGATACTGATCGCTTATGGGATGACAGAGACCAGTCCAGTAACATTTATGACCTCACTGGATGACCCCAGGGACAAGGCAATGACGAGCCTCGGACGGGTTCTGCCACATACCTCGGCCAAGGTGATCAACAAGGATGGGGTTGTTGTTCGACGGGGCGAGAGCGGGGAGTTATGTACGAGTGGGTACGGGCTCCAGAGAGGTTACTTTGAGAATGAAGCCAAGACGAAAGAGGCGATGCAACGCGATGCGGACGGGAGGTTGTGGATGCATACGGGGGACCAATGCTATCTCGACACGGAGGGCTACTGTCATATCAGTGGGAGGATCAAGGATGTGATCATTCGAGGTGAGACTGGCTGCTCCAAAACCGCACAACACACAAGACAGAGTCTAACCGCGGACTTTTGTAGGTGGAGAGAACATGTTCCCCCTGGAGATTGAGGAGCGCCTTCTGCTGCATCCCGCGATTGCAGAAGCAAGCGTGGTCGGCGTCACGGATCCCAAGTACGGCGAGGTGGTGGGTTGCTTCCTCAAGCTGACGACCGGGCATATTCAGCCACAGGATCAAGAGCTACGGGACTGGGTGCGGGTGGAATTGAGCTGGCACAAGGCCCCGCAACATGTCTTCTGGATTGGAGATGGAGGTGTCTGTCCGGACTTCCCTAAAACTGCCAGTGGCAAACACCAGAAGCACATCATGAAGGACATTGCGAACACCTGTCTGTCCGGGTCGAGCCCAGGGAAGGATCTGCCTTTTCGTGTGCAAGTGATTTCGCTGTTTGGGCTGTCGGTGTGTTTGATTCCTCTTGCATTGTATTTCTCGACTCTAGCGTAATTAACGGCAAGCATTGACTTTATTCGACCCTAGATTATCCAGCGCTGTGATTGTCCCGGCACTGTACAATGATCATGCTATAAGCAACAAGTTAAGCCTTGAATCGATCACTCAACCGCACCATCAACGATGGCTTATGCCAGAGGAAATACGTGTATTGATCCTTCCACCCCCTAGACGCCGGACAAAGCTCCATATCAAAGTGATATACCAGTCTAGCAAGCGTGAGACGCATTTCCAGGTAGGCCAAATTAGTTTCCTGTCAGCCGGCACTCATGCTGCACACCAAGGGGATTACTCACCTCTTCCCCAGACAGTTCCTGGCCCCCATGGAGAACGGTTGGAGCGTGTCTTTCTTATCTCCTTCGAACTGGGGGTCAGTGCCCAGCCAGCGCTCCGGAAGAAACTCCTTGGCTCGGAAGAAGTTGGTATCATTGGTATCACTCATGTATGAGGCGTAGTGCGGGACGTGAATGTCCGTCTGAGCTTTCCACCATCCACTTTAACATTCGAGGTAAACATACAAGCTAAACTTCGAGCAGATCTCAAGACAGGGCATGCGCATCACCTTCTACTCCTCCTCCTGAGCCTGCGGGTGATTGTCCGCCAGCCCGTTCTTGATCATGGCCGACATGAAGTCCACTCGGTCCTCCCCAAGCGCCACTCGCCGTTCGGCCTTTTCCGCACTGATGGTCAAATCCTGCATACTTTGTCGACGAAATCACGCCGGCGTACAGGCCTCCTGCAGCATCGCGAGCGCCGGAGATTGGTGGATGGCACTGAGAATGGCTGAGCCCTTAACACTATTGAAGATGAACTCCATCCAGGGATGGGGTTGGCCATCCTGCAGGCAGCCGAATGTCTCAGCAAACATCAAGTCACCCGTGATGTCAAAGGCGGCGAACTCTAACCACGCTCTGATGTCTATGTCCGTACTCTGGTGAGCGAGGTCTCGCAGTCGCGAAATGGACAGGTCAATGAACGAGGAAACCCGCGGCTCCTGTTCGCGAAGTGCGCGGTCGGAAAATGCATGCGCCAAGAGGCGCCATTGTCGGCGGTGAGCCTCATTGCTGATGGGACCCCAAACGGAGTCGCGAGTAGGGATCATAGGCCCGTAGGTCTTGAGGTCTCTCGGAAACTGGGCCACACCCGGTTGAGACCCGTAGACTTCCTTGAACCCTTGCGCTGTATTGAACGACACGGGGTAGGGATCAGTCCGCACGATCGGACCGTGCCGATCACGAAGAGCGAGTATCTTCAGGTGATAGTACCCTCGTACTAGACTAAGCTGAGAGGGAATGTAGGACAAGCCCACAGCCGGGGCCCTGGGTATTTGGCCAACGGCGAGAGAAGCAGCTCGTACACCACCACGTACGAGACCCATAATACTACCTGAGTTAAGCTTCAGTCCAAGCTCCGTGGACAAGATGGTAGACTTACCAGAATTGCCACAGCATAGAGCCATAACCAGCTTGCCAGGATGGTGCCCATCGCCCGGTGGGCAAAGTCGTTGGCGGCGCCCATTGTTCGGTTGCACCGGACGCACTTAGAAGTCGGCCTGTTGGCCCTCAGCAGGATCCTGAGAAAGAGCCACTTTCGTTGAACAGGGCCCGGGAGAGAATAAAAGGGCCTACAAGGGCCTACAAGCATGCGCTGACCCTTGCTGACGACGCAGCGAGTCCAAGCCTATCACCTCACGTCAGTCTCTTGACACATCCTCCCCGGTACTGTAGAATCCAACCTGCCGACATCTGCAGCCACAGAGTGGTAATATTGATTAGCTGCACGCGTAAGTGGGTCTTGGAGGATTGAAATTTACGTGGCCGGCTGAGCTACCGAGACTCGTTCTGCGGTGACAGGTCGTTACGTTACACATTGACCCGTCCGATTTCACTCAATCCACAGTTGTCCCCACGTCTCCCAAAAGTTGAGCGCCGACGACTCGTTTAGAAGAGCATCCACCATATCGTCCATATCAGTACTGACTCCCGGGTTGCCAGCCGTCATGGAATTGACTATATCATCAGGCCGTGCAGCAAGAGGTGCAGCCGCAGGAAGAGAGACTGAAATGTCGGGGTGCTCATCGAGGCGATCAGGGCAGATTTCCCGAATGGCCTTGGCGAATATTCCGCGATAGATGGACGCAACGGTGTAAACTTTCTGGAATTCCTCCATGACCATCATACATACGTTGAGCTTGTTGAGTCGCAGACGTCGTGATAGAGGATTGCCGGTCCGACAGTTCAGGAGGTGTATTTGCATGGCCGGGATTAGGAGAGGCGGTCTGTCGAGGAGCTTAGTATTGTGAAACAGAATGCGTGATAGGGATGCCCTACGTCATTGGCAAGGCATATTCAAGCAGATTCTCCTGTGCGAGAGTTTCCAGAATCTCGTTTGTGCGGGAGGCAGCGGAGTCGGCCTTGGAGCGAATGATTCCCTGCCATTGCATCTGATGATTAGGAGACGTTTCATCGGGTGGGTCAGTGATAGAGGGCCGATAGAGAACGATGAGGATTGCTCTACTGAAATCAGAAAAGTCGCGGCTAACGCCAAGGCCTGCACATACTGGTAATGTAATTGGAGGTGATGCAGGTAGAATCTCGTGGGACCATTCCAATCCGCGGCGGCCTGGTCTGGAGGTTTGTGACAAGAGATCTCGGCCTCAAGGGCCTCAACCTGCTCACGCGAGGGTCTCGGACGAGCTGTCTTGTAGCTCATGGATAGAACTGCGCCTAGCAATCTGCTCATGCCTATTAACTGAATCCAATATTCAGCCAGAAGAGAGACTTCATCCGGGATAAAGGCGGATAGAAGGGATTCCGGAACATGTTTGAGGTCATAGAGAAGGTCTCCCACTAACGGCATGGCTACGTCGCAGTCATCAAGGTCAATACGTAATGGGCGTCCTAATGTTAGACTCAGCCAACGATCCCGGAAGAAGCATGTCCACCAGAGGCGACGCCAAAGATGTCGCTGACGATCGGTAATCGATGCATTATATCGTGCGGCGTCCGGATTGCGGTGGAGGCCGAGGATCTGACAAAGAGTCACAGATATTCCAGTCCAGTACCAAGGCTGGACATGTTCATCTACTTCGGAGTGCCAGAAGCCGAGCATCAGAGAGGATTGTAGAAGAACAACTTTGTCTCGCTCTCCGCTGTTGTTGTAGAGACACTGTTCCTCAAATTAGTAACTTAGCCCGTACAAAGTACCGCTACATCGACTGAAATGTGGCCTGTGACGAGTCCGACAAGTAGAGGTATGCAAAGCGCTTTCTGGAGACACTTGTCCAAGCACTGGGGTCTTTGATTAGACTTTTGCCTGAAACCTCGACCGGGTGGGAAGTTGCCTCGAGTCCATCGTGATGTCTGAAACACTGCTAAAGGATAGAAGCGCGGTTGAGGTGTGCCTTGGTGGTATTTCCGAGGCTTGTTCACTATGAAAGACATGGGAGGAAAGGGTACGCAAAGGGTACACACGCTATCTTACCTTTGCATGGGAGTACATAGCTGCTTTCATCGCCTTTCGTGAATTGTACCCTTCCCTCTCGCAAATAGAGGAGGGAACAAACTGTGAGGGCGGTCAGCTGTTTTCAAGAACACGGACTCTCCGATTGCTACTAGAGCTGCAGGACCTAGGCCGCAGACACGTCATCGTTCTCTGATGCCATAGTCTGCAGCAAGCACCAGCCCACGGAGCAAACAGCCCTGAGACACAGACATTGCACGAGGCACAGAGCAATACTGCTGTGGCCTTTGCTCAACAGGAGGACTGGTGGTGACTCACATTGACGGCAACAAAGAACACACTCCACACTAATAGCAAATTGAATTCATGCAGCCGTCCAGCATGAAAAAAGTGCAGGATCTGATCGGCTTCGATGATCGGCATGATCGTATGCACATGACGAAAGTATGCCTGAAGCAGGCAATGGCATGCTTCACTGCTGGGTAAATTGAAGACGCCTTTGCTTGCGAGATAATTCCGATCCTCCTCGGACAGGGAGGTCGTTGCGCGCGACGGAATCAGGAAATGTCGGGGTAGAGTTCCTTCCGGGGCAAGGAGCGTCAGGGTTGAAGTTATTCCGGTCTTGTCTCCTGGCAATGAGTGTGGCCGTTAGCCTTGCGCATACTTCAGCCAAGACGTAATGCCGCGGTTGGCTGTAAGGAATGAGTAATACCGGTGTAGAAAGGCACCTGTCCGGCTTGTTCCGGGTTGCCCAAAGCGGCCTCTGCGATCTCGAGGCCATTGCGTTCCTCGTCCTGGATGCTGTATCGCTCCGAAGCCGAAGTAGCTGGTGCTGGTGCTGGTGACTCCGAGGGGGGTCGTTGGAAGGCTGGTGTGCGAGGCGGGCGAAGTACATTCCCTTCGGTGAGTGCACCGCGGACAGACGGGCTACTGGTGGCCGCGCGTAACCGGTGTCGAGCCGATGCATTGCGCCGGCTGGTCCTGGCACTTTTTCCCCCTCGGTCAGTCTCTAGTTGCGGGCATTGCGGGGGAGGATGCTCTCTGCTCTCTCACCTCTCAGCCGGAAGAGGATCCACGACACATTCGGCATGGTCTTGGGCGCAGCGAATGCAGGGAACGCCAGTGACATTGATGCTGCAACGTACCTTGCGCTGACGGCATGAGTGACAGGCCACCGTGGATCGGTAACGACGAGCTGACATGGAAGGGTTATTGGGTGTAAAATAAGAGAAAAAGGTGTAGACGGCAAGAGTGGTTGATGGATGGATTCCGCGGTAGGGGGAGAGAGAGAGAGAGGGAGAGCGATGGAGATGGAGAGCGATGGAGATGGAGAGATGGAGATCCCGCGGGAACGGGAGAACGGGAGGAAGCAGAACAAATGAAGCAAATGGGGCAAATGGGGCAAATGAGGCAAATGAGGCAGACGAGGCAAACAGGGCAAACAGGGCCAACCGGGCAAATTCCTGCCTCAGACTCTGCTTGGTGCCTGACCGACTGCCTGACTACCTTGTAGTTAGTACTAGTAAGCACATGCTATATCGCAGTGCATCTTCGGATATAGCCAGGGAACGGGCATCTAGCAGATTCAGGAAACAGGAAGAAAATTGTCTCGTATGACGTAGGTACGAACTTAGCACCTGCGCCCTGTCGCATCCCTCCGAATCGCACGATATAGATATAGGTATATAGGTATTTCTGGCGCTGACTAGAAATCTGGACTCGACAGACCAACTCTACTAGTGAACATTTGACCACCAACAAGGGACTAAAAACAGAAGATCTGATCCGACATCTTGGCCACCGCCCCAGGAGCCTGGAACCCCAGAGACACCAAGGCCTTCTTGGAGGCGTTCACCATCCCCGGCGGCCCGCACAGCATGACTTTCGTATCTGGGCCAGAAGCAGGCAATCGCTCCTTCATAATCTCCGCCGTGACATACCCACTGCCAAATGCCCAAGCCTTCGGTGGCGTATCCAGCATGTACCAGATCTGGAGATTCCGAGGGTACTGCTGCGCGAAACCGTCCAGTTGCCGCCGCAGCAGAATATCGTCTTCCGTGCGATTCGCATAGATCAGGCTGATCTCGGTGAGATCGGTCGGGTCCTCGCAGATCGCCCGGATCAGCTGGTACATGGGGGTGATTCCCGTGCCACCGGCAATCATGCCAATGCGTTTACAGAGCCCGGGGGTATACTTCATCGCCCCCTTCGGTCCCCGGAGCTGAATCTCTTGCCCAATCTCCAGGTGGGCGAGATACCGGCCCGTTAGCAAGCCATCGGGATAGCACTTGATCACCAGCTCCAAGACCCCTCGATCCAGGTTGTTAGAGGTTGGGGTATAGGATCTGGAGACGGTCTTCCCGTCGACATTCGCCCTGATCGCAACATGCTGACCGATCGGCAGTCCGATCACCTCCTGCGGGTTGGGGAGCTGCAGCACAAATCTATAGACATTGGGGGCCAGCTCTTCCTTGCGAACTAAGGGGAGACCCTTGTACTCCTTGGGATCAAGAAACCCCTTGACTAGATGAGGATTACTCCGAATCCGCGGGCGACACTTGATGTAGGCCGGATAATTGGTGAACCCCGACTTGATCTGGGTCATTTGTGATAACTTGGATGCGACCAGCGAGCCCACAAGGGTCGCAAGTCCGGTTGCCGCGGCAAACCCGGTATAGAAGCCCCCGGAGGTGGACCGCGCATCGGGTGATTGGAGCGAGGGTAGGATACTTCGAAGCTCTGGAAGTGCCGGCCATCGTGCAGGTAAGGTGGTATGAAGATGAGAGCCAAAGTACAGGGTGACGGCCGCCCCGCCGATGGAGAAGATGGTAAGGGCTACCGGCGTGATAGAGCCGGCCTTCCGCGGGGCTGTTGGTGGCGCAGGGCTCGTGGACTGGATCAATCGGACGGTCTGGGGTCGAACGCGTTCCTGTGCATCTTTCAATGTGCCAATGAGATATGCTTCGAGGATCTCATCTGCATCCTGCAAGTGTCGCGTTAGCCCATCAGCGTACGTGGTTGGATCTTGGGTTGGCCCCGCGCATACCTCGGAATGGCCAACGTCCTCATACGCTTCGGTCGCGTCCAGGCCGGCGACATCCATTAATACTTCTGGCCCGCCAGGATGATCTCGAACATAGTCGGTGACATTGTACACTATATCAGGATCTCGCATTAGCACGTGACTTGGCATGGAAACAAACAGTCCACGAGTGATCAGGGTACCTTTGCCACGAACCGCGATCCATAAATCATCCTTGGACTTGTGACCAGCGACCTCGGCCGTCGTATATTGCGGTAGGTTCTGCATTGCAGGAGAGAGAGAGGCACAGACAGAGAGAAAAGAAACTTCTGCGAGGTCTAGAAGCTAATACGGATTGAGGTCTCATGAGTTGATCTGCGGGCCACAGACTCTTTTATATTGCTTTGATCCCAGAGCGGCAGTATACCTTGGGCTTTCAAACTATTACTCTCCCTGACTCTGTCATGGCCCACATCCATACCTCCCCCACTAGCATGGTGGCCAATAGTCGAAGGGGAAATGGAAAGCTGGCCATCCTACCTCGGGAGGAAGTAGTGGAGCCCTTCCGCGGGAGGCACAAAGCCGCGGGAACGATGGATGTGTCGCCACAAAGAGGTATATGAGACTTGATTAAGAGTGGAAACTTAATACTACCATTTTCCGCAATTATAAAGACAGGGGCAAGTTCACCAACTCCCAAGGCATATCACGTCTGGATCAACTAGCACATCATCGAAGCCATACACCATGTCAAGCCAGCAGTTCTATCTCCTGGGCGAGGCGACCACGTCCGCCAGGCACATCACGATTGACGCATCGGCGAACCTGGATCAAATGAAGCATACGGTGGCTGCTCACTTTGCCGTTGTCGAGCCAAATGGTCAGTCACCCACTACGGTCATAGCAATTCGGCAGCGATTCCCTTTCCTTTGTCGCTAACTAAGTCAGAGATCGGCTTTCAATCCGGCAATGAGTGCCTCATCGATGTCGGCGATGTCCTCGCTGCCACCGGACCCGTAGCTATCACGGTTGATGGTCACGCAGTCCGAGAACCCGAGGGTCCAAAAGGCCTGCCTTACGTGGGAAATTACTTCGAGGTTTTCCCCGACCACCTGGGCAATCACCAGCGGCTCTACAAGCAGTACGGCCGGATCTTCAAGACCACCAACCTGGGGCGTACCACATACCATACCAATGATCCGCAAATCGCCGCTATCGTCTTCGCCGAGTCGGACTTCTTTTCCAAGAAGATCAACGAATCCCACCCACTCCACGCCCTAAAGGCCCCCTCTGCGGGGGTCTTTCTGGGAGATACCGACACCCCGGAATGGAGGGTGGCCCATAAGTTCTTGCCTCCGGCCCTCGGTCCCAAGGCAGTGCGGCATTATGCTCCGACCATGCAGCGAACCGTGGAAGACGCGTTCAAAGTCTTTGACGCGCTAGATGAACAAGACTCCGCCTTCAATGTGTACCAGTACATGTTGAAGCTTGGATCCCAGGCGGTAGGCAAACTCACGTTAGGGCTGGACATGGAGCATTTCACTGCCCCTGATGCTCCCGTGCACGACATGGTTCACAATATTGCGGAAATGCTGTCTCTGAACAAGAAGGTCACCTCGCGTGGTGACTGGTACGGCAAGCTTCCCTTCGGGGATCCCCAGCGGTTGCGAAACATCAAAGCGAAATTGGAGGCAATGGTAGAGCAATCCATCCAGGATGCCGAGCGAGGTGGTGTCACGGACTTGCCTTTGCAAGAGGCGGCATTACAGGCCTCGAACATGGTTGGTGAGTCTTTCTCGGTGTCACTCGTTACTCCCATGCGATCTGACTGGGCTAATGCCCAAATTTCCAGACTACGCCGTCCGTGCGACCGACAACAAGGGGGAAAAGCTACCAAAATCGAGTCTGGTCTGGGCGCTGATTGTGGCCACAGGGGCCGGATTTACGACGACGAGCTCCCTGCTGTCGTGGTTGATATATGGCCTCGTAACGTATCCTGGGATGCAGGAACGACTGTTGCAGGAGTTGATCGACAACGGCATTACGGAAGACACCGAGCTCACTGCAGAGATCACAGATCGACTGGTCTTCCAAGATAAATACATCAAAGAGACGATGCGCCTCACCAATCCGTCATTCCAGCCCGGCCGCACCGCCAAAGTCGATTTGATCCTGCCGGGTGGCTATAAGATCCCCAAAGATGCGGTCATCGTGCCTGGTCTGCACCATATCCACAACAACCCCGACCTCTGGGACAACCCTAGCCGGTTTGATCCGGACCGATGGGATACCCCCCAAGTCAAGGAGAGACACAAGGCAGCCTACATTCCTTTTGCCATGGGCCCCCGCATGTGTATTGGGTTCAACTTTGCTCTGCAGGAGGTGAAGATTTTCCTCCCGAAGCTGATCTATCGCTATCATTTCACGCGGGAGAATGATCTTGTGCCCGTGGAGTATGACCCGATGTTCCAATTGATCCGACCTAACAATCTGTACGTGCGTGCGGAGCGAAGAATGAAATGGCCGCCCAGGACAAGCCACTGAGTACGGGGTTGGTGGGGGGTGGATGTCAGATACATGTACAGGGTTACGCATCGAGTTGTATATTGTACAGCAGTATGAAGCATTCAATGAAGCAGCAGTCTTTGGCCGTATTTGAAAGCCTGGAGCAAGGAGGGTAAGAAGGTCACGGGATCGTCCACGTACCCTAAGTTGTAGCGACAGTCCAGTAGACTTACCATCTAATTGTGTGATTGTATTGCCGACTTTGCCTAGCCTGGATGGGCCGAAGACTCGAAGAATCCATAAGGTCAGTGGGATCAGGATCCATGACGTTTCAAAGAGGTGGGCCTCCGACCAACGAAAGCATCAACATTGTCAACAGCACGCGTAGTCCCACAGGGTGCGCAATGCCCGAGGCAATTCAGTTTCCGCGGGAGTGCTGGCCTATTCGTGTGCGTATCTCCGCTTGTCAGGACCTAAATAATTCCACCATAGACAAACAGTACTTCCTCGTGAGCTGGTCACATCTGACCAAACCCTCGCCTCCGCAGCCGGGGCAGCTTCCACGTTAAACCCATTCAAGAGATCTCGCGTGTCGATCGGTCACCAACAAGGTTTGCCAGCACATTTAGCCGGCGATGCTGCATGCCACGTCCACTACGCCTCCAAATATTTTAA